CCGGCCCGGTTCACTCCCCTCTCCCTGTCCCCCCTGTCCCGCCAGCTCTTCTCCTCGGCCCTGGTGTCGTCCCACTCGGACAGCGAGAACATCGGGGGCTTCTCCATCGAGGACGTGAAGAAGGAGATCAAGAGGGGGAACAAGCTGGTGAGTCTCTCGCCCCCCCCGGAGGGCGCGGCGGCTTTCGGGGTGACCCCCCCCGCCCCCCGCCGCGGACTCCCGCGAGTCTGTGAGACGAGGACACAACCGTCTCATTCGTACATCCCCCTGCAGAGAATCCCTTCAAAGTAGAGTCCCTTTCCTTCACGGGAAAACCCGATCCCCTGCAGACCCCCTCCCCCCGTTCCTCCCCCGCGGCGCCGAGTCCAGAGCGCGCTGGGATTCTGGGATTCTGGGATTCTGGGATTGACGTGTCCGTCCCTTTCGCAGATGTGCTCTTCCTGCCACCGGCCCGGCGCCACCATCGGCTGCGACGTGAAGACGTGCCGCAGGACCTACCACTACTACTGCGCCCTGTGGGACAAGGCCCAGATCAAGGAGAACCCCTCCCAGGGCATCTACCTGTAAGGACGCAGCGGGCGGTGCGCTCCCGGCTGGGCCCGGCTGACCTCCTTCAGTCCTGGGCCCGGGACTACAGGAGAGTGCCGAGTATCCCACCTCAACGGGACCGGGAGTGTGTCGGATAATTGAAGATGTGGGATAATGCGGGATAATGAGTAGACAAATCGTAGATGAATGGACATGCAGTATGCGTATGAAATCTGGTGGATTAATCCACTGTAATGCTAAAATAACGAGAGCACAGCACTATTGTTCGCGATTGTTTAAGAGAACGAGCGCTTGTTTCCCAGATGCACTTCTCTTCCCTGCGCCGGGGTGTCGCCCGCGTCTCGGTAACATGACATCAGCAGCGGCCGCTTCGAAAATACAGGAGGCAAAATAATCATCACGAGCGCGAAGTCGGCAAACGCAGCTACGTCCACGTCAGTACGTGACCCAGCATCGGATTGGGCAAAATATGCACGCGCGCGAGCAGTGTACAGTATATACACTGTATATACTTACATATATGTCGGATAAGCAAAGGTCGGATAATCGCGTCTCTACCGTAGTTAGAAATGATCAGCGAGAGCCCAAACGACTAAGGTCCTACAGCTCTTGTGGGCTGGAGTTAAGTTCTCCCGCCCTCTTGCCTCCTGTAGGCCATCCGGTTGCGCACGACGTCTTCTTCCGAACGTTTCGGCTCGTTTCTTTCTGGTTTCACGTCGTCTGCGCCCAGCAGAGGATGAGGAGCGTGCCGGCTGCTCACCTGTCTTTCTGATTCCTTCTCCTGGCAGGGTGTACTGCCGCAAGCACCGGGATGCTTCGCAAGACTCCAGCGAAGGTAGGAATGTCCATCGACGTCTTTCATTCAGTCCTTTTCTTGCCCCCTAATTTCTGTGTTTATTTTACTTGAAGCCTCGCAGTCTAGAGCACACTGCGTTGAGCGTAATCGCTTGAGGGGTCTCACGACTGTCTTTGTAAAAGCACAGTGTAGTTCTTGGGGTGACGTGATTAGTGGGGTGCCACAGGGACCTGTACAAGGGCCGCTGCTCTTTTGAATGTGTGTCAGGGGTCTGGGCTCTGGTACATTTACAAAGAGGATTAACCTGCACTCCAGGGGCACCAAATGAAATTCAAAAAGATTTAGATGCAATTCAAGACTGGGCAGAGGCGACACCTGGCAGGTGACCTTGAATGTAGAGAGGTGCAGGGTTTTTGCATGCAAGTATTGGAAAATACTTGGGAAAATGGGAAACGCTGATCTAAAAGAGGCAACTTATGATGTAAATGTGTCAACATAAACATCTTCCAAAGAATGTGGGGAAGCAATTAAAAAGGCAAACAAAGCATCTGGATACGTGGATAACAGTTTAGACGATTAAAGGGATGTTGTGTTAGAATTGAATGATACACTGTTAAGGCCTCTTTTTCAATACTGTTTATAATTTTTTGCCACCACATTATTGAAACAATATTGCTCTCTGGAATCACTGCAGACTAGAGCAGCCATTTATATTCAGGGACTTCAAGAAACATCCTGCACTGACAGTCTGGAGCAACTGAACTCTTTTAAGAAACAGATGTTTCTTTCTTTTAAGAAATGGATCCTGGGATCAATTAGCTACTAACTACCAAATGAGCCAGTTGGGCCAGATGGCCTCCTTTTGTGTGTAACGTTTCTCATGCTCTTGTCCTCTGACCTTTGCGTCCTCTCTTGTCTTGCAGATGAGCTAGAGGGTGTGGCCAACGACTCAGACTCCTCCCCTCCCCGGGGGAGGGGGCGGGGGCGGTTGGAGAAGGGGCGGGTCAAAGCCAGCTCACGGGGCCAATCGGAGGACACGCGCTCGACCTCCTCGCATGGCACGGACGACGTGGAGATCGCGTCGCATGTGAGACATCGGCGTTCCCTAACCGTGAACACCTAGCCGCGCAGAAATGGCTAACCTGGGTTATCCCCCCCACGCGTGAGTGAACGGCGCCCTTGTGTGGTTCTCTGTGTAATCTCTGGCTCTCTGTGTGAAGCGGGACCGGTCCCCTCTGCGAGGCAGCCCCAGCGACACCGGCCCGCGATGCGGCTTCTGCCACGCGGGGGAGGAGGAGAACGAGACCCGGGGCAAGCTGCACGCCTCCAACGCCAAGAAGGTCGCCGCCCATTACAAGTGCATGGTACGTCAGGAAGGAGCCGGGGGGGGCTGTTCGCCCTCTCGTGAGCCGGCGGGGTTGTGTGGAACTCTTCTCAGACCTGTGGGGCTGGAGCATTGCTTATTCTGTGTTCTAGACCTTGGGGGTGGGGGGGCATTGCTGCTCTGTTTTCTGGGGCGCTGCGTCCCCTGGGGCGCCGCGGTTCCGTGTTCCGGCACTGCGGGGAGTGTAAGATGAGTGACTTTTTAAAAATGAAAACAACGACAAAAAACCACGCTCCTTTGCTGCCGTTGCCCTGAAGCTGGGGGGTGACGCGTGTCCTGGCCGGGCCGCGGGGGGGGGCGAGGCAGGGAAACAGCGGGTCTGAAAGCTCTCTTAACGTTCGCTTCCAGCTGTTCTCCTCCGGGACAGTGCAGCTCACCACCACCTCCCGGGCGGAGTTCGGCAACTTCGACATCAAGACCGTCATCCAGGAGATCAAGAGAGGGAAGAGGATGGTAAGGGCCGCTCGCTCGCTGGTCAGTCAGGCCCGGGCTCTGAGGAAATTCAGGGTGGAAATGAGATTCTTACCGTACGGCTAGCACTGCGCTGGGGCTGGCGGAGAGCGTGCATGTGTGTGTGGGCAGGATGAGGCTGAGAAACACTGAGGCAGACCAGTGGCTACCAGCCTCCTGGTCCTGGAGGGTTACTGGCTCTATATCGCAGAGTAATCAGTGCCACTCTTCTACCTGGGGCACAGCTGTGAATCTGTTCTCGGCTCTTGAAAGGTGGAAGGGGATTTGTCACAGGTGGCAACCCTGTGGCAGTTCCCGAGTCTCGGGACCTCTGCCCAAGGATGCGTGTGTGTGTGTGATAACCTCCCTCCCGCCTGCGGCTGTTCGTCCGGCGGCTCGGTCAGTGGGGGCTGTGTAGTCTGAACTGAGTGCAGGCAAGCTGAGGAGGGGCAGGGTAAGGTTCTGGTACCTCTGTGCCCCAGTCTGTTACCCTGGGAGGGGGGGTATTTCTGACGCTCGGAACTGACCGAAGATGCAAGTTAAGATCGAAGTCTGAACAAGCAGGCGGGACAGTGCTGTTCCATGTTCTAGGACTGCGTGGGGTGGAACATTGGTGCTCTGGGTTCTAGAACGGCGAGGGTTGCTATTGAGTGTCCTAGAACTGTTAATCATCCATCGGCACTTTGGGTGGAGAGCTGAGCTGGAATGAAAACCAACTGTTCCTCCAGTACCGGGGCTGGGAGACGCTGATCTCCCAGAGGCTCACTGCTCTCGGGCAGAGCAGAGCTTGCCTTCTCTCCCCGGAGCGGCTCAGTTCAGTGTGCCGGGGGGACTGTGCTCGTGAAAGAGAAACCGTGCTGAGTGCCCCCTTGCTCTTTGGCAGAAATGCACCCTGTGCGGCCAGCTGGGAGCCACCATTGGCTGCGAGATCAAGGCCTGCGTGAAGACTTACCACTACCACTGCGGCCTGAAGGACAAAGCCAAGTACATCGAAAACATGGCCAGGGGCATCTACAAGTGAGGGTCCGAGGTCGCGGGGGGGGAGGGGGGGCGCCGCCTTTTCCCTCTCGCTCCTTCAGGGGCTCAGACACGGTTTCTGCGTCGTGTTGGGGTGGGGCGGGGGAGGCGTGTCTGTCCCGCAGGGGGCCAGGGAGGGTGACTGACCCTGCGGCTGTCGTGCCCCCCCCCCCCCAGGCTGTACTGCAAGAACCACAGCGGTAACGAGGAGCGGGACGAGGAGGACGAGGAGCGCGAGAGCCGCAGTCGAGAGAAGGCCGGCATCGACCACGGCGGCACCCAAGCGCCCCCGCCGCCCCCACCGCCGCCGCAGCTCAACGGCAACTAGGTAGGGCGCTCTGCAGGCCCGGCCCGGCTCAGCACCGCGGCCCGTCTTGTGGCCCGGTCCAGCTGGGGCGCTTGCGCACTGGACCTCCAGAGCCAGGGGGTCTGGGGGTCACGGCGCAGCTCCAAAACACCCCACAGTGGAGCGGTGATCCACCGCAGGCCCAGCCGAGCCCTGTCCCCTCTCGGGCTGGTGTCGGTCGCCGCCTCACTGCTGCCACCTTGTGGAGTTGATAGTCAGGCACGCCCAGCTGGGCTTCCTCAGTCTGTCCTGCCAGGGGAGAGAGGTTTAGCTGCTCTGGAATCGGTCCAGGGAAGAGGGACCAGTTGCGTTCCCAGAATAATAATAGATTTCCTGGGCAAGTGAACTCGCTCTCTGCCTGTGAACAGCGCGAGGCCTGCTCCTGGTCTGTCCTGATGGTGTCCTTTTCCGTCCACAGATGGATGTGTTGCGAGACGGCGATCGAAGACAAAGAAATGTACATATTTTTGTATTAAGTTCCACTAGTAAAATACGGGGTGGCCCAGCAATTTCGATCTGTTGTTTGGTTTCCCGTGTGCCTCCTAACAGCTCTGCCCTCCTCCAGACCCACACGCACGCACACCATCTCTGGCCTTCTGAATTACCCATCAGCTCCTGCATCGTTTCCGGGAGGGTTCGGAGTTCACGCGGGGCGAGGCCGAGAGGTCCAGTCCGCAGAGGAAAACGAGGACATGAATTTTGCAACATGAACTGACAGGACTTATGGGCGATTCACCGTAATGGATGTGATATTTTTGTAGAAGACTGGATATAATCAAAAGTTGTTTTTTTTTTTACTTGCCTGTGCTGAACCCCCACACTTTCATTTTTTTAATATACCTTGAGGGGAGAGAAGAACCAGCAACAGTGCTCTTTCTTCACGGTCAGCTTACGGAGGCTGCCTCTTCTCGTTTCACACCATAAAATCAAGTATATCTCCTGCTCTGCTCTCTTAAAGTGACATTTCTCTCTCTCTCTCTCTTTCGTGTTTTTTTTTGGCTTCCTTTTCAAATTTGTGTATTATATTTTATTACTTTATTATTGTAAAGATCCGTGACTTTCTTTGTATCCAGAGTCTGGATTAAAAGTCTTCTGGTAGCATGACCTCTGATTTGTGATACTGTTGGAGACTGGTGTCCCGTTCCTTTTAGACCTGTGCAAATTTATCAGAGTGGGTCCATTGAGCTTTGGGGATTTTTACATTGCTGGTGGAATCCGGGCTGTTAACCCTTGCTGGTGCCCATAAAGCAGGAGAGCAATTCTGAGGACTACTGGTGTTCAAAGAAAAGGATAGGAGAATCTTTGGGGAAAAAGTCCTTCCATGTTCACAAAGTACAGTACACCATCAGCAGGTTATGGAACTCCAGGGTGTGTTTTTAAATGGACAGACCCCCCTGTCCCCTGTTCAGACTTTCCTAGGCTTCGAAAGCCAGTTGAACCAGTTTGAAAATGAATACTGGGATGGGACGGGTCCAGACTGACTTGAGCGAGGGGCACACACGGTATCTGGTGTTTGAGAGAGTCTGTTTCCCGTGCAGTAGGCTGCAAGACCTTTCCCTGTGCCTGCCCCAGATGTCATGATGACAACAGCTGTTTCACAGGGTTTGAACTGCAAACTTACACATCCTTTATCTGACAAAACAAAACCACCTGACAGGGAAGGAGCAAGAGAGTGGCTGCATGTATCTGCGGTCATGTGGAGTGCAGTCAAGCTGGTGACTCTTATGTTTGTCCAGCAGGTGGCAGGTTTGTATATTTTTGCAGTACCAATGGCACTCGTTTCAACCAGGAAGCTGCTTCCATTAAAAAAAAATCCTTTGCTTATAAACCGTGTTTCTGGATTCCTTTCTGACTCACATGGTCTCTCTCTGGTCTCAGCCTAAAGCTTGTATGTCATATTACTAACGAACAAGTGCAGAAGCTTGACATATGTCCAGTGCTCAGCAGGTTTCTCATTTGGTTGTAAGACTTCGATCTGTCCTGCATCCAATCAGTTAGGCACTTGCAATGTCTATTAGAGATTATATGAAACTTCAATGTATTTTTTAGTTTCAGATTTGATTTAAAATCAAAGTATTAAATATGAAACTGAAAGAATTGAGTGGATTAGTAGTACGAGTGTTGCCTTTTGATTTCTCACTGTCTCATCCACTGGAACGGCACTTCAAAAGCCTGGTTCTTATGATTTGTGTCTTTTTTTTTCCCCATAGTTTTCTGTTCAGAATGTTTTGGCTGCAGAACCTCACCTTATCTTGTGAGGAGACGGCTCAGCAGTGTAATAATTGAAAATGGAGTTCAGTCGATAAGAAGTTCCATCAATAGGTCCAGTTTAATCAATGAAGCGTTGCACCAGAATCCTGAAATAGACTCGAGTCCCTAGACTGGGAACCAGTGAGAGAGAGTTCACTTACTGGAGTCCTGGGGACCATTCTACCTGAGCTCTTAAGAATTTAACCCAATTAATTATGAACTCTCCTGGTCTAAATCCCGTTTCCCCAAGCATCAGCCTCTGAGACCGCCCGGGATGCTTTCATTTTGTTTTCCTCTGCAGAAGAGAAACGCTGTGTTGCTCTGTCACCTGCACCTGCTGTTGCCTTTGGAATGTGTTTTTCCAAGGTCTCTGGGAAGAGGCAGCTGCCTGGGGCCGGAGCGGCTCAGCACTGCTGATAACAGCGCTGTCCTCCCTGCTACACGCTCCCACCCAGATAAAGACTCTGGGTAGCCATAACGAGCTCTCTGGGAATTACTATTGTCCCAAAACATATCATTTTAACTAGAATGAACAGCTGGGGTGGAAAAGACACCTTTATGAAGAGATGGGGAAAAGCGGAGTGACTTGCAGGATCTGATGGAGGCTGGGGGTTTTCACAGCCTTGGAGCTACGGGACAGGAGGCACTGTCTGTCCGCAAGGCCCGGAGCCCGGTTCTGGAGCTGTCTGTCTGCAAGGCCCGGAGCCCGGTTCTGGAGCTGTCTCTCTTCAAGGCCCAGAGATTGGTTCTGGCACTGTCTCCCAAGGCCCAGAGCCCAGTTCTGGCACTGACTC